TATATATATATATTAAAATTGTATTTTAATGTTAATTAACAATAGTTCATTTTCATAAAGAGACATAATTTCTCATTTATTCCAGTGATTTAACATTATACTGAACTACATTAAATCTAGATCGATAAATTACGTTGTGAAAGGGAAAAATAATAACTACTGCTGGTCGGTATCGGAATTTCAATGTCGCGATATATTGTATTGAAATATCAATATCTTTCTATACACCATGATATTTTCCCGTATTATATTGTTTTACATCGATTAATATTTTCAGTACCGAAACAAACTGTATCAACCCTAAAAACATTGTCATATTATCGATATTTATCGTTATCAATAATATCAATTATATTTAGATTACACGCAATCATATATCTTGATTACTTGTTATCACGATTACAAGTAATTGATTACAGTAATTGGGTATGCAATCAGGATTACAGTTATAATCAAAATTCTGACTGTTTGTAATCATGATTACAAGTAATGTATTACTGTAATTGAGTATTGTAATCACGATTGCAGTTGTAATCAAAATTTGTAATCATGATTACAGGTAATTGATTACTGTCATTGAAAAATGTAATCGATTACAAAATGTAATCGATCAAAAAATTATGATTACTTGTAATCGCGATTACCTGTAATCGTGATTACAAGTAATCGATTACATAGCAGTAATTATCTGTAATCAATTACAGTTGTAACCGATTACTGTAATCGACGGTCAATTCTGGTATGTATGTGATATCAATCGAATATTTTTAAAATATCGTTATCGTGATGCTTAAAAGACATCGATATTCCACGATATGTCGCTTAACTCAAGTTGTAAGAGTAATCTTTATTTTAATTCCTGTTGCAGAGCCCTCCAGTGCCTTGGTGTCAAGTTGCATCATCCCTACCTATTTGGGCTGTTACTATTGCAAAGTTTTGCGGAGCATGGAGTTTTATTTGCTTTCAATCCAAACTTCCTGCCTATTTGGATGAAGTGCTACATTTACCTATTCATAAGGTATGTAAAAGTTTCCACAATTTCGGAAATTTAAATTGTTTATTTATATATTCATTTAAAACCATTGTAGTGTGTGTCTACCACTACAAAATTACAATTCCAGTTTACTAGGTTATAAGACATGTTAACTCGAATCCATAATGGGGTACCTTTTCATAAATGAAGGTTGGCACTGTCGATAAAACCTCACTACACAACCATTTTCTTACTTCAATTCATAGAGTAAGTTAATTGTGCATGGTAAATGTCTTCCTCAGCTTTGCTGGCACCGTTACTTTCTTGTAAAGAAATTTTTAGCTATGATTTTTCATTAATATGGCTGCATCATTTGACACGGCTCCTAAAATGCTCCATCAGGGTTGTGGGCCTGTCTTAATGCAATCTCATACCTTTTGACACAGAAATTTTAATTATTTTTCATACTTTTTACACTGTTTTATATTAATTTAGGCCTAAATAAAGTGAAAAATTTTATCTTTAGCATTTTAATAATTTATGATTATGGAATACAGCATGAAATACCGGTGTTTTTTTTCTGCGTTTAAGGTAAAATCTTCCAAATACGATTCCCTTCCAAACAATAATTTTTTTCAAATATTTACTTATTTGCAGTTATTTAGATCTAAAAAAAATAGTTATTCATCATCAAAAATGTTTTCATTTACAAAATCAATTATTGATAAATATAAATGATAAAAGAAATTTTTAAACTACTTTTTATGGATTTTATATTTTTGAAAAAATGTAATTCCGATAATCTATCAGCATTTCCTTAGTAATTCTTAGACTATTTTAAAATTAAAAAATCTCGTCTTCCTCACAATTAATTCAACGGATTTCGAGAATGTTTTTTCCGCACTTTACATATTAATTTCCAACCCCTAATGTTTATACTTTATTTCCTTTTTGGTAAGTATTCTAAATATATAAAATTCTTTAAACTGATAAGCAAAAACTGAAAAAAAGATCTTTCTTTTTTTAATTCTTCCCTTAGCCTAAGCTTTTCCTTTAGCTTTAAGAAATACCGTCGCTTTGGAATTTTTTCTTTTAAGATCGTTCGAATATTGCAATATGGCAATTTGAATTTTTACTGCTGTCCAAAATCAACAAAATATGGTTAAGAAATATTTAAACAGTTCCTTAATTCAAGAAACTTGTAATACAAGCAAAATACCTTATAAATTTCATTATAATTTGAATTTAGACAGTGTGTAAATACTAGTAGCTTATTTTACTGCAATTAGAAATTGAGGAAGATTGATGCAAAAAATATTACTCTTTCATCAGCAATTTTTAAAAAATCCTAAGTTGAATATGTTCACATTGGATATTTATAAATGTTGTAATAGTTTATATAAAATATATTTGAACACAAAATTCTTTGTACATGTAAAATACTTAATTCTTATTTTTGAAATATCACTTTTAGAATGGCCTTGTGAATTCTCTTCTATTTGGGGCACTTTGCTTTTCTATAGTGGTGTCCGGAAAGTTGTCAGATTACATTCGGGCCAAAGAGTACTTCAGGACAACCACGATAAGAAAATGTTTTGAGACTCTTGGTAAATATAAATTTAAGCTTTATTTATTTATTCTTTTTTTTTTTAGTAAATATAAATTAATACATTCTGCTTTTTTTTCTTCCTTCTTTTTTGTTGTTAAGCCTTGTTTCTTTATGAATTTCATGAACTCAATCGTTTTCGTTTTTAGGCAAATTAACATTTCCACTCCCTGTTTTTAAGAAATCCGCAGTGAAATTACAATTAAAATAATCTTAATTGGTTTAATTTTGTCAAATTTTAAAAATTTCAGTGACTGATTTACAATTCATCTATAATGACTTGAATTGATTGCATATAGTGGTTGTCAAAACCACTACAAATCAAATTTACTAAAATAAAAATGAATTTAGAAGTGGTGAACTTCATTACCATTTTAAATATTAGAACGGAAGAAGTTGGTATGTATGACAGTAGACCCGTGATTGATATGTTACAATATTACTTCCAGTTGCCGTAATAAGGGTTAATATTGTAATTTGACATATAGGTTCTGAGTATACGGTTAAATGATTTGTATTTAAAAAAAAATTAAACTTAGTTTTGAAATAGTAACATACAATTAGAAGAAAATATATATTGGAATTTTTTTAATTATAAAAAAACAATCTAAGAGTTACAAAAAAAAACTATTGCATTATCGAAATTATATTTGTTCTAAAATAAAAAATGCGCAATTAAAAATACTTCAAAAATTTATCAGTAATTTATTTTGCAAATTAAAGAAATTTCAATGATAAATTTTTGTTTCTCCTAATCTAAATAACTGCAAATAAGTGCAAATTTAAAAAACTATTGTTTGGAAGTGAGGCATTTTCGGTAGATTCCATATTTAACGCAAAAAAGTCACCAGTGTTTCATGCTGTATTTCATGACCATAAATTATTAAAATGCTAAATATCGTAAATTATTAAATTATGGTATTAAGCATTTATGGTATTTTTTACATAGCTTTCTTACTCTCATGACCATAAATTATTAAAATGCTAAATATAATATTTTTTACTTAGTTTGATAAAATAATGAAAAAAGTATGAAAAATATGTTTAAAAAAATTCTGCATTAAAGGGTTACAAAAGTAAGATGCTTGTTTTTTTATCTCCAGTGTCTGTTATTTTAATTGCTAAAGTTAAATAACATACGCCGATTTGCAGAAGGGAAGAAAAAAAATATTAATCTTGTAGTTTAATTTTATATGAAGCTGCTGTTGAAACCAAACGCGAACATTATAAGTTATCTATATTTTCTTATCAAACATTTTTACAAGATACAAAAAAAATTACACTGAGGTAGTAAATCTGAGTTTTCCTGATACAGTTTGCAAAGTTTTGCTTTCTATTACAACAGAAATTCTTTTTTTTTTATTAATATTTATTCTGAAAATTGTTTTGTTTCAGCTTTGTTAGGTCCAGCTGCCTGCATGACAGCAATCCCACTGGTCAAGTGCAATGCAAATGCTGTGATCATTCTCTTAACAAGTGCCATGGCCCTATTTGGTCTATGCGGCGGTGGAGATGTCTCTGTCATCGTAGACATGGCACCTGATTTTGCAGGTGAGCTGCTTAAAAATTTTTTGTTAACATAAAATTGAGTGCCTTCCTTATAAATACGAAACTAAAATTGAAGGCCGACCGGCCTGTGTAGGGTGCACGGAACTGTCCTTGCATCCGAAAGTTTCTGGGTTCGAATCCCGGGCAAGGCATGGATGTTTCTTTCTCTCTGTGTGTTTTATGTCCTTTGTGTGTGAATGTGACCCGCCCTATAAACGGGTTTGTGGTTGAGTGAATAGTGTAGCAGAAGTCGAATTCTTGGCCATAGATGGCACCACTGAAAAACAAGAACAATCGCACCCCCCTCTGCCTAAACAGGTATACGAAAAAGAAAAAAAATTTGAAGGCAATCCTTATAAATACCACACTAAAATTGGGTGTAATCCTTATAAATACCATACTTAAATTGAGTGCAATACTTATAAATACCATACTAAAGTTCAGTGCAATCCTTATAAAAACCATGCTAAAATTGAATGCATTTATTATAAATTGTACTATACTTTTAAGAGAGCCACCGAGCGTTCGCCTTCCAATGACGTGAACCGGGTTCATATCCCAGCGATGGCTGGTCGATACGAATTCCGCATCCGTCTTGCCCCGACCACAGTGCTGACGTGAAATATCCTCAGTGATAGACGGATCATGGGTTAGAGTTCCCTTGCCGTCAGGCTAACTGTGGGAGGTTCTCGTGATCTTCCTCTCCATGTAACGCAAATGCGGGTTAGTTCCATCAAAAAGTCCTCTTTGAAGGCCAAATTCTCCCAATACTTGATCCAGCAGTTCCCTTGTCCTTTGGATTGGGTTTGAAATTACAAGGCTACGTAGTTGAACATTAGTAGTCGTAAACCCGGAAATTGGGTCAGCTGTTCAATGACGATTATAAAATAATAAAATAAAATATGCTTTTAAGAAACCCACATCAAATAGCGTAATTAGTGGCGTCCATGGGTACTCTTAATTCAGGCCATGAGTTAGATCTTTAACAAATATACAATATAAATTAATTTAATGTACTTAGAATCATTAAATAAACACATCATGCCTGAATGTTGTTTTTTTGTGAAGAAATTCAGATTTAAATATTTCACGTGAGCTATATTTATTATTTATGCAAATACAGAATACTTTTTAAGAAGGGATATGGCGAAATTAAATTGCTTTGTAGAAAAACTTTAAGAAAGCAAGAATTTATTTGCAATTTTTTTACTAATTAGATTAATTAATATTACAGAAAAATACACTCATAGTTGGTAGAGTTTAAATCAGTGAAACTACAATATTAGCATATCACAACTTTTTTTTATTATTGTATACTCAGAAATTTATCGATTTAAAAAAATGAAGAAAGAACTAGAATTACAAAAAATATGTTCAATAAAAGAGGAGCATATTTTAAAAAATTAAGTTTAAGCCACATATTTATTAGATTAAAGTTTTTACAGTATAAAGAATATCCTAAACAGTCCAAAATAATGTTTTATTTATTTTCAGGTAAAATTTTTGGCGTCTCGAACGCAATTGCGAGTATACCGGGAATATTGTCTCCTATTGTTGCTGGATATTTCTTAGAAGGAAATGTAAGTAGCATATTTGTAAACTTCTATTAAGTATACGATGTTTGAGGATAGTATTTAATCAAAGAGGTCATACATACTCTAAGATTAAATAATAATAATAACAATAATAATGATAATTTATTTTTTACGGCCGAAAAACTTTAAAGATAAATGTGTTTTTAAGACTATATTTCAACTAAAACGCAAAGTAAAGCATTTCAGCGACAGCCAATTGGGATTGAGAGTCAAAGTTCAACAATCCATAATTTCGTGACCAAGAGCACGATGGAGGCAATATGGTCAGTATTACGCACCTACCGCTTTTACTTCCCTAACAAGTTGATACCCACCAAAAATTGAAGATAGGCGAGCTTCAGGTCACAACTGGAGTCAATATTTCAACGACATTCTCTCTTTATATTTCAATGCAATCTGCATATATATATTTACTACTAAAGCGCCAAATTTATTTAAAAATAAGTTTGTCTAAATTGATAATAGATTGTCACCGTCTCTTCAATTTTTCCCTTTTTTTGCCCAACCATTAATTTCAGTTCCATTGTTTCGTTGTTGACTGTGCCTTATTTGGTTGTTTCCTTTATTCATGTAATGTCGTCGTGCCAAAGAGTTTGTGTTAGAGCGCAAGACACAAAACCGCATTTTTTTTTTCATTTCAACTAAGACACAAAAGAAGTTTTTTTAATTTTCAATTTTATTTTTCGTTTTAGCTTTCTTTGGATTAATCAAAGTGGTTAAATGTCTTAATCTGATTAGAATTTCTAGAGTAAATAATATAAAGGAGGTTTGTGCGTAATTCTGATCATATTGCCACGAAATTATGGAGTATTGAACTGCATGACTTGACTCCTCCCCTTGTTATTCTGTTTGTATATTTTTCTCAGAATAAAAAAACTAAATCTGTTTCACTAAATAGTTTAAGTCCCTTAAGCCTAGTTTAGATCTTGAATAAATTTATTTTATACTTTAATCAAGAACATTCCTCCCATTTGTATATTTTTCTCATGATAAAAAAAAGAAGAAAAAAAACTGTTTCACTAGATAGTTTAAATCCGTTTAAGCCTAGTTTATGCCTTAAAAAGTAAATTCATTCTATACATTAATAAAAAATTACTTCAATTTCATGTAAACTTATGATGTGCTTTTCATCTTCTTTTCCAGAAAGGCAATGTTGAACAATGGACAATGATTTTTTACATATCTGTTGCATTATACGTCATTGGTGCTATAACTTTCTTGATTTTTGGCTCAGCCGAAGTGCAATCATGGGGAGTAATTTCTCCTGATAAAACTGAGGAGCAACAACAGAAAGACCGTACTATTTCCACGATATCGACCACAGTTACGGTGATACTAAGTAAAGACGACTTCAACATGGGTAACTCATCAGTCGTGCTGTCTCGGTTTAAGCGTACAGACTCTGAAGTATCTTACGTTTCTTTTATGCTGTAATCTGACCCTGGAGAAATGAATGGCTCACTGGCAGTTGCTAGATTATCTCAAGTAAAATAAGATATGGATCTTAATCGTTACATTAAGTAAATGCATCAAATTGTTTTTATCAGAACATGCTCTCAATCGTTTCATCAATTTATATTCACCTGGTTTTATTGTTTCAACCAGTGGATGTATCGTTTCATTTTCATTTGGATTTGCATTTAGTTTTTCCATCAGACAAACGTATTAATTCGTTTTCATCAGGACGTGCATTTAATTGTTTCATCATACGGACGTATCAATTCATTCTCGTCTGGATGTGCATTTAATTGTTTCATCAGACAAAAGTATAAATTCGTTTTCATCAGGTAATGCATTAAATTGTTTCATCAGATAAATGCATCAATTCGCTTTCATCAGGATGTTGATTTAATTGTTTCATCAGACAAACGTATCAATTCGTTTTCATCAGGATGTGCATTTAAATGTTTCAACATATTAACGTATCAATGAATTTTCATTTGGATATGCTCTTAATTGTTTTATTGAGAAAAGACATTAATTCATTTTAGTTCCCATCAAGTAATTGTATCACCAATCAGTTTATTCTCATCTGGATACAGTTGCTTAGAATTTATCATTTCCATATGAAAAATGAGATGCACGATATTAATACAGAACGCAAGTTGATTTTACTCAGCAGTAAGCGATCATCATACGTATACTTGAAGGGAAAAAATTTTTTTTCGAAAAAGATTTTTAACGTTGACGTTAGACTTATTTTTCAACAGAAAACTGTAATTCTTCTTTAAAAACTAACTTCTTCTAAACTTCTAGGCTTTAAAAACAAGAATAGTTTAAGAGCTTCAAGAAAGTATACGAAACAAATATGGAACATTTTACCCCATGTTTTAACCTATTTCATTACACTAACAGCAATACTGTCAAAGACTTATTAACGAAGACATTAGTGCCATGAAGAAAATATGTGACGATATGACATTTAAAAGATCACAACGATAAGTTATTCCAAACTGGTTTCATGTAAAATAATTCTTTTATTTAATTATCTATTTAATTTTATTTGAAATAAACTTTAGAAACTTAACAAACTGTGATATAAGGATTGTACACTTTGTTTAAAATATTGACAAATGAATGGATGTAATTTCTTTATTTAGAAGAATATGATCTTCCTAGAATGATGAAACAGAGTTTTTTTTAAGAAAGTGTGTAATTATATTTTTTATTCTGTGCATAATTGAAAAAAATGAACTGAACTAATTGAATGTACTGTGATATAAATATTGTGCAATTAGTTTTTTTTTGAATTGTAAGTTAATAAAATTTTTTTATTGTATTTGAAGTGTCATTTCATGAAACAAAATATGTGTTCAATTTACTATTGGTAATAGTAAAACGGAAACAAAAAAAACTTTTTTTTGTGTGTTAAATGCCATTCAAATCGTCATTAATTATCAGATATACAATAAAATGGGATAGCTTGGTATGAAACTTAATGAAGTACAAAAATATTTTTTCATCAGATGTACTTAAGAATTGAGTATTAGGAAATCAAAGATTAGAACATGCTGACACAAAATTTATTTTAATATTTGAAGCTACTTTTACTAAGCTTTCAGCTTTCATTGCTACCGATGTTAAATGAAATGTTTTTAAAAAAGCAGAATTTGTGTATTGTATCTGCAAAGATATGTAAAGGGATCTAATTTATTAAGTAATCAAAGAGCCTGTATTGTATGATTTATGTTTCCCAATTGATAAAAATCTATCACTCTACTACTACTACTACTCTACCACCATATAATAACTTTAAATTTAAATTATAAGTTAATAAAATAAATTGATATTATAACTCTTATGTATAATGATGTATTTAAAAGTTATGATTATATAAGTTAAATAGGTATTTTATATAGTTTCAAGTAAATGGATGTAAAAAATTCAGAAATTTTTTTATTTCATTAAAATGAAGTTATTTTTCCACAAAAACGTATATAAATTGGTATTGGTCATATTTCAATGCAGGCGTCAGTTTTTTTTTTCACATATGTTATAACTTTGCAGTATAATTATAAAGCAAAATTAAAAAGCAATATGAATACATTTGTATGAAAAAGTGCTTATTTATTGAAACACATTTAAGTGCACTTAACTTCAAAAGAAAAAAGGGGAGAAAAAAACATCAGTGTAGTGTATACCGGGCAAGGGCATACCAGGCCGAGTCACTTAAAAACGTCAGTGTTGGGTATTCCCATCCTTTAATCTATCTGATTATTCAAGCATCACTAGCTGTGGTCAGTCAGCGGAAGGGCGACCACTTTGATCAGCCTGCGTAGGGACCGAGGATGCGTGGTACTGGTCCTCGTTAAACTGTTCTATCGTAAAGTGCTCGACTTCAAGCGCAGGTCGTCTGGCTACCAAAGTAGGGGAGAAATCCCCTCCACAGAGGATCAAAATTGCGAAATCATGTCTTCGGATCATCCTTATGGATGTTTCCTAGACCGTCTCCAATAGCCCATTGTCAGCTCTAGTGCGACGTTAATAAGTTCCTACCTACCTTTAAAAAAGAAATATACTGAATAGCGATGACAGTCTTAAACAGAGCAGTCCCGCAGTGGACTGATCGTTAAGACACGGTTCCCAGCAGATCACCGAAGTCAAGCATCACTGGCTACGGTCAGTGTGCGGGTGGGTGACCACTTGGATCAGTCTGCGTATGGACCGAGGGTGTGCGGTATTGGCCCTCGTTAAACTGTGAAACAGTTCGACTTCGCTCGCAGGTCGTCAGGCTACCGAAGCGGGGGTGCCATCCTCTCTGCAGAGGATCGAAATTGTGATGGCATGTCTTCGGATCATCCTCCGGGGATGTTTCCCAGACCGTCGCCAATAGCCCATTGTGGCGCTCTAGTGCGACGTAAATTAAGAACAACAACAACTAAACAGAGCAGATAAGAAAGTTATATCTGTGAAATAACGCTGAATTAGTTAAGGTTTTGAAATGACAGTTAGTTATTAGATTCGTCATTTAATTGCAACTGAAGTTTAAAGGTTTGAAAGTCAAGTTACGCCAGTTAAAATCAGAACAGAAACGGGCAGTTAAAAGCTTTAACTTAAAAAGAATTTGTATTTTCAATATTTTGAAACGATTTATTACTGGTTTGTTTTATTCATCGAGAGTTTTAATCTATTTTAAGAGGCTAAATATTTTCTCTTTCTATGTAATACTATTAATCACGCATAATAAACACAAGACAGAATTAAAATAATTGATTTGACGTTAATGCTCTGTAGGTGCTTCAAAAAATGTCTGTTAATAATAATAACTCCGAGACAGAAAGTCCATTTCAAGAAGACGTTAAACCCCACTTTTGCAGTGTCTGTAATAAATGTTTTCCTCTGCAGATTCATTTGGATCGACACACGTGTGTTCCAGAAACATCTGCTGAAAACAGTAACCAGCCTCACCCTAAAGTAAAATCTTATCCTTGTAGTTTATGTAATAAAAGTTTCGATCGGAATTCTCGCTTAAAAATGCACATGTATGTTCATTCCGAAGAGAGACCTTATTCCTGCAGCGTATGCAACTGTAGTTTCAAATACGAGGATGCTTTAAAAAGACACAGTCTCGTTCATCAAGAAGAAAAACTTTATCCTTGTACTTTATGTAACAAAACATTTAAATGGAAAAACAACTTAAAGGTACACTATCGCACTCATACTAACGAAAAGCCATATTCATGTGAAATTTGTAATAAAGGTTTTTCAGGGCGATGTTATTTAGATGCCCATAGAATTGACCATGGTGATGAAAAACCTTATGCTTGTGAATTCTGTACTCAGAGATTCAGTTCGAAAAACAGTTTATCTAGGCATACTAGACTACATACCAGAGAGAAACCTTATGCTTGTAGTTTGTGTAACGAAACTTTCCAGTATAGACATCATTTATCTAGTCATAATTTTGTTCACACTAAAGTTAAGCCATTATTTTAGTTACAACTGTAGAGGACATGCCTGTTTTAGGCAGAGGGGTGCGATCAACGGCCAAGAATTCGACTACATCAATTGACTTAAATCAGAGAATGATCAATCTCCAATCCAGTACCCCTAGAAGTACTGATTAGTTATGGGAACATGGAAGACTTTGAGACTCGACAGATTTAATGTGCATAAGTCACCATTTACTGCACGGGGAGTCTTCGGCCAGCGGGGTTCGAACCCACAAACATGACCCAGCGCCCTACCGGCCAGGCTGTCCCAGCCCTAGTAATACTCTAATATAAATCACATTTAAGTCTAAGATCTATTTGGCATCTGATCCAACTGCGGTTATTTTGTAGTGGTTCTCAAATATTATTGTGCACCTTTGTCGCCTTTTCTTTACTAACTAGTCTTTAAAATTACTACTCATAAAGTCTGTTTTAAAGAACAGAAGAAATAGTGTCAAACACTAAGTAAAATACAGTTTACAATAAAAACTTCTTTATAACTTTTTAAATTTGTGTTTGGTATCTGATCAGACTGTGTTTTGTGTTTGTTTTTTAGAGTGGTTCTCAATAAACAACTAGCCTTTTTACTGTGTTTGTTTTGCAGTAGTTCTCGATAAACAACTAGTGTTCTTACTGTGTTTGTTTTGCAGTAGTTTTCAATAAACAACTAGTCTTCTTACTGTGTTTGTTTTGCAGTAGTTCTCGATAAACAACTAGCCTTTTTACTGTGTTTGTTTTGCAGTAGTTCTCGATAAACAAATCATCTCATAAAGTCTGTTTTAAAGAACAGAAGAAATAGTGTCAAACACTGAGTAAAATGCAATTTACAATGAAAACTTCTTTATACTTTTTAAATTTGTGTTTGGTATCTGATCAGACTGTGTTTTGTGTTTGTTTTTTAGAGTGGTTCTCAATAAACAACTAGCCTTCTTACTGTGTTTGTTTTGCAGTAGTTTTCGATAAACAACTAGCCTTTTTACTGTGTTTGTTTTGCAGTAGTTCTCAATAAACAACTAGTCTTCTTTCTGTGGTTATTTTGTAGTGGTTCTCTATTATCATTCTGTTCCTTATTCTTATTTACTGTTTACAAAATTAAAAATAACTAATCATATAGTCAGTCTTAAAAAAGCAGAGGAATTGTGTTAAACATGAAGTAAATTCTAATATGATTCACTATTGAAGGTTCTTTAAACTTCTAAGATCTGTTTGGCATCTTATCAAGCTTTGGTTGAATTTTAGTGATTCTCAATCGACATCTATTCATCTATCATTTTGTAACTATGTGAAGTTAAACTTTTATACCAGCGTTTTTTTAAAAAACATTATTAATACATTAGAATGTATCATTTTAAATACATAAATAAAAGACTTAATGAAAGAAAGTGGCTTGCCGCAAGATTTTTTTTATTTTTATAATTGTCGTTAAACAACCAAACCAATTTAAGGATTTACAGTTACTAATGTTCAACTCTGTAGCCTTGTAATTTTGAACCCAATCCAGAAGACAAGAAAACTCCTGGATCAAGTATTGGGAGAAATTTACCTTCGTACTTTACTTCGAGGACTTTTTGATGGAACTAACCTGCATTTGCGTTACATGGAGAAGAAGACCACGAGGGCCTCCTACAGTTTGCCTGACGGCAAGGGGACTCTAACTCATGATCCGTCTACCACTGAGGATATTTCACGTCTGCACTGTGCTCGGTGCAAGCTGGATGCGAAATTCGCATCGACCAGCCATCGCTGGGATTCGAAACCGATTCACCTCATTGAATGAACAAGGATTCACCTATTCAAAATTTTCAATTAATGTGGAACTTTTAAAACAGTTGTTACTCTAGTTGAAACAATGTCCTACACCACATCTGTCGAAAATATTTTGTGTTAATCCTTTGCATTTTTTAACATTTGCATCAAATTCTTTTGCCAATTAGGCCAGTCTCAGATTTTATCTGGTCACACGGGTTTGGGTGGAATATGCTGAGCCGGACCTTTATATTTTTTTACTGAACTTTGATATTTATTTTTCTGTTACTTTTGGACATGCTATTCATATTGCAAAGAGTTTCTGCTACTTCAAAAAGAAAATCTGCAGAGTTTAAAACCTTTTTAATTGTTAAATTCTGCAGACTTCAGTTGTTGCCTCTATGCATGCTCACATTTGTTTCGTAGCCAAGCATTCAACATTATTAAATTTAAAAATGATTGAGCGTATGAATTTGCCATCTTTTGCTTTGTAGCAATTTTTTTTGTCAACCAATTATGTTATTTATCAAGACTACGATACTCACATGCCGGTTGAAGAAGGGTCGGTTAATTTTAATGTGCCTTTCCTCCTTTTTTTTATACGCATGGATCATTAACATTGGTTCTTCATTTGCAAATTATGATGCTAATTTACCAATTTTATTGCCTTTCCTCAACATTGTTGAAATATCTATCGCATCAAATGTCACATAATATTAAAAAGATAATCCACATCCCAGAGTTGAAAAGGTTTTGGACAGAATAAATTAAACCACGGTTTAAACCAGTCTGTCCAAAACCCTTTTATTGAAATTATGTCACAATTAAAAAAATAAAAATAAAAGTTTAATTTTTGAACAAGAAACAAATTAATTTTTAAAAAAAAATTTATTTAAAGAGTTTATTATTATTTTTAATATTTCATTAATTATTCTTATGCTAAAGCATAATTTATCAGTATTANTTCTAAAATAAATGTTTTAGTAAATTCTAATATGATTCACTATTAAAGGTTCTTTAAACTTCTAAGATCTGCTTGGCATCTTATCAAACGGTGGTAGATTTTTAGTAATTCTCAATAGACAGCTATTCATCTTATCATTTTGTATCTAAGTGAAGTTGAACCTTTATACCTTAACAACAGTGTTTTTTTAAAATTATCAATACATTAGAATACATCATTTTAAGTTCATAGAAAATAAAAGACTTAATGAAAGAAAATGGTTTGTTGCATTTCCACAAGATTTTTTAAAAATTTTTTATAATCCTCGTTAAACAGCCAATCCAGTTTCAAGGTTTACAGCTACAAATGTTCAACTCCATAGTCTTGTAATTTTAAACCCAATCCAGAAGACAAGGAAACTCCTGGATCAAGTATTTTGAGAAATTTACCTTCATGGAGGACTTTTTAATGGAACGAACCCGCATTTGCGTTACATGGAGAGAAGACCACGAGAACCTTCCATGGTTAGCCTGACAGCAAGGGGACTCTTACCCATGATCCGTCTACCACTGAGGGTATTTCACGTCCACACTGTGGTCGGTGCCAGCCGGATGCGGAATTTGTATCGACGAGCCATGGCTGGGATTTGAACCCGATTCACCTCTTTGAATGAACAAGAATTCACCTATTCAAAAATTTCAATTAATGTGGGCTTTTTAAAAACAGTTGTTACTCTAGTTGAAACAATGCCCTACACCACATCTGTCAAAAATATTTTGTGTTAATCCTTTGCATTTTTTACATTTGCATCAAATTCTTTTGCCAATTAGGCCAGTCTCAGATTTTATCTGGTCGCACGGGTTTTGGTGGAATATGCTGAGCCAGACCTTTATATTTTTTTACTGAACTTTGATATTTATTTTTCTGTTACTTTTGAACATGCTATTCATATTGCAAAGAGTTTCTGCTACTTCAAAAAGAAAATCTGCAGAGTTTAAAACCTTTTTAATTGTTAAATTCTGCAGACTTCAGTTGTTGCCTCTATGCATGCTCACATTTGTTTCGTAGCCAAGCATTCAACATTATTAAATTTAAAAATGATTGAGCGTATGAATTTGCCATCTTTTGCTTTGTAGCAATTTTTTTTGTCAACCAATTATGTTATTTATCAAGACTACGATACTCACATGCCGGTTGAAGAAGGGTCGGTTAATTTTAATGTGCCTTTCCTCCTTTTTTTTATACGCATGGATCATTAACATTGGTTCTTCATTTGCAAATTATGATGCTAATTTACCAATTTTATTGCCTTTCCTCAACATTGTTGAAATATCTATCCCATCAAATGTCACATAATATTAAAAAGATAATCCACATCCCAGAGTTGAAAAGGTTTTGGACAGAATAAATTAAACCACGGTTTAAACCAGTCTGTCCAAAACCCTTTTATTGAAATTGTGTCACAATTAAAAAAAAAAAAATATTGTGAAAAATGAAAGTTTAATTTTTGAACAAGAAACAAATTAAATTTTTTTAAAAAATTTATTTAAAGAGTTTATTATTATTTTTAATATTTCATTAATTATTCTTATGCTAAAGCATAATTTATCAGTATTAAAAGCATATTTAAAGGATAAGGTATTCAACTTTGTTGTTCATGAATTATGGAGCTTCAAAACTTATAAATATTTTCCTATTATATTATTTTCTTTAATAAGTTAAAGCAATTTGTGTAAAAAAATATCAAATGTTTATTAATATTTTTAATTGTTACGTGTACAATGATTACACCTATAAAATTTTTATCTTTTCCTAAAGTTCAAAGATTGTCATAATTAGTTAAACCTATTTGTATCCAGTGATCTGTATAAGCAAATATAGCATAAATAAATAAGCATATAGCATAAATAAGTAAGCAGTCATTTCTACAGGTCAGGGTTGGAGTGGCAAAAACCAAATTATCTAAATAACTGATAAGTTTTGTCTATGTTTAATCCATTTTTTCGACTTTTTATAATGAAGTGATACAAAAAGTAGCCTTATGATGAAAGTGGTATAATGTTCAAACTAAGGGGATATTTCATATTGTTACTTAATTTCATTCGAATTTCTACCAATTCTAGTCCCGGATGTATAATTCATTAATAAATTATAGCAGGGTTGGAATTTTTGTCGGCAAAAAGGGTTTTTTGCCAGGACAGTGGCAAAAACCGGCAAAAACCAAATTATCTAAATAGCTGATTAAATATTATTACAAAGTACTTGAAACAAATTTAACTCAATCATAAGGAATAATAATTTTGATACGTTACATG